ATTCCTAAAATATATGAGAGTGGATAAGATGAAATTGACCCCCAACAACATATTCATACATATATTTCATTGAAAGTGTTTATCTTTTGCTTTTGCCATTGATCAAAACTTCATGCATACATATTTAATTTTCGTCTTTTGCATATAAAAATCCAAATATTTCGTCTTTAAGTCTTAGCTAATCAATAAACCACACAACTAAACTAGGCCGTGAGTCCTTTGGGAAGAACGATACTTGGTCTTACCAAGTTTATTACTTGAACGATTCGGTCATACTTGCCGATTGAAAAACAAGTTTGTGACATCATATTTTGGTGTTCATAAATTTTTCCATCAGATAGCCAGGTTTAAGAGCTGGGATTGCTCTTGTGATTTGTAAGAGATTGAGTGTGTTCAATCATTATAGTGGATTCCCTTCAACTAAGGTTGTTGAAGGAGGTATATATGTAGGCTTGTGATAGTTGAACCAGTATGTTATGTCTTGATCTTTCTCTTTTCCTTCTTTACTTAGTTGATTCATAATTCTTTGATTATTGATTTCAAGATCCAAGAACTCATAAAGATTTAAAAAATATTTTTAAAAAGGATAAAATCCAATTCACCCCTCCTCTATTGGATTGAGATATAAAGCCTCTCATTTCTAATAGTAAAGACAAAATGTTGTGAGTATCAAAAGAGTTTATGAGGACAAGTGTGGAAGAGAGGAGTAAGTATTTTGGTGTAAGGGTTTTTGGTTGGTGTTCTGCACCAGGAATTGATTTTCTACCTTGAAGAAGTGAAGTTCACTTTGTAGTGGTGTCTAAAGTAGAACTAGTGTTAATATTTTCTTTTTGGATAGTTCCTATTGAAGTTGTAAGTACAAGAGGTATGTGGATGTTTTGGTTATAACATTAATAATTTGGACTTACTGCAATCATCGGGTGGACTACAAGTTTGTTAGATCTCAAAAGAGAAGTAGAGGAAAGATTAGAAATTTTCTAGTATAAGTTTGGGCCGATAGGAATGATTTCTAGCATGTATGTTTTCAAGGAATAGAAACAGTGTTGAGGAAACACAATGACAAGGTTTTCGCGAAAGAGAAGAGTTCTTAGGGTTTTAGCAAGATCATAACAATTTTGAAGAGGTTCTTCGAGAGTGATCATTTTCGGGTTACAATTGGCAGGAATAGAGTGTCATTCTCAGTAAAACGATGAGTAAGGAAGTATGAGAATTAAAGTAGCACAACAGATGATAGTGGGAGCGTTCTTGTCAGTAAGTGGAGTATGTGTAGAGTTTCTTAATCATGGGTTGATTGTTTGTGAGGGATGAACTTCTTTAAAGCAGTAGTGATGTTGTTATCTGAGAATGAGTTAAGAGTGTTTGATGATCTTCAAAAGTTAGAAGTGGGATTATATGGAAGATTAGGTAAGAGGCATAGAAAATAAAGTAAGTCTACAGTTTCAAGCTGCAGTGTCGACTTTGAAGTGATAAAGTGATATGGGAAATTGAACAAGGAAAGTAGGTCATGAGACGAAGAAGATGGACTGAGTTTCAGTTTCTAGTTTGATGACAATCTTGAGGTAAGCAAGTGTTAGTTGTGGTTGGAAGCTGAAAGAAGATTCAAGTTTTTAGTTTGGTAAGGCTTTAGTAAGAGTTGATTGAAGAAGTATGAAGATTCGGGTTTGAAGTGAATGTTGTAAGGATAACTCATTAGTATAGTTAAAGTATTATAACTCAAAATGGTTGAGAACTGGCAGTTGGAAAATTCCTAGTATGAGAGGAATCATAAAATGGTTAACTAATCATATTTTATTTTAAATTTATTAAATTTTTATAAAAAAATCATCTAGATTTTATTTTTAATTAATTTGAACTAATTTTATTTTGTTTTCTATTAATTTTGATCATAAAAATAACTATACAGTCTAGCCACTTAATTTATTAAAGTTTTTTTATTTGTCATAAATTTTTAAAAATTTTACCTTCAAATTTATCATTTTTACTTTCAAATTTTTTAAAAGTTACAATATCATTTTATTCTCTATTCTTTCATCCATCTAGTCATCCTCTCTCAGATTAAAAAAATAAAAAAGAACATAACTTTTAAAATTAGAGTTGATATTTCGATAACTCTCCTAAATCCATGTTTATTATCAGACTTGATTGAGGTGTATTGAAAATCTAGACCAAATAAAAAAAAGTTAAACCTCACTTATACTATTTTAATGTGTGAAATTAAGGAATAAAATTAGATGGTAATTTTAAAATGACGAAAATTTATTAGTATAATTCTCTTATTGCTATATTTACAAATTTAAAGAATTTTTTAATGTTTCGGAGAGTATATGTTAGAAATATTATATCTTTTATCTTTCAGTTTATCTTTCAGTTTATCTTTCAGTTTATCTTTCCGTTTATCTTTCAGTTAGTTTGTTATTATTTATTATTTGTATTTTGGGTTTAGCCCATATTTTTTCTATTATAAATAGAGAACCCTATGTCCCTTTAACACAAGGGAGATTAATTCCAATATATAATTTTCACTATATTTAACATGGTATCAGAGCAGGTTTTCTGATATCTTCTGGTGGTCTTTGCTGTCTGCCGGCGGTCGGCCGTCATGGCCGCCGGCAGCCCCTAAAAATTTCATAAGATTCAAGTTTTCTTCTTCTTAAATCTCAGCACCCAGAATCAGAGACAAGTCTCCTGGGAACCACTGCCTCCTCTGAATCTCCGGACCTCCCTCTCTGTTTAGACCTTTCAGAGCAGCCATTGCTGCCATCGAAATCTGTCTTCTTCTTGCCGAATGTTTCTATATCTTCGAACCTCCTTTTTCTTTCTGCGTAATTTGTCGTAGAGGGTTTCTCCTCTGTATTGCTGTTCTTGCCTTGTTCTTCCTTTCTTATTGTATTTGCCGCACAGACTGCTGCGTTTATTGTCTCCTTCTCCGCTGCTCTCCTTCATCCACTTTTGAAGTTGAAGTGTTTATTGCTCACTCTTGAAGAAAAATCATCTAGTTCAAAACCTAGTTTAGTTATTTCAAGCTTGGTTCATACAATTTGTATGCTCCAGCTTGAGGGGGAGTGTTAGAAATATTATATCTTTTATCTTTCAGTTTATCTTTCAGTTAGTTTGTTATTATTTATTATTTGTATTTTGGGTTTAGCCCATATTTTTTCTATTATAAATAGAGAACCCTATGTCCCTTTAACACAAGGGAGATTAATTCCAATATATAATTTTCACTATATTTAACAGTATATAAAAGATTATTTTTAATATTTTAAAAACCATTAACATCAATTCTCCTTCTTATCTTCTTTTCCGGGGAGGAAACACAAAGATAGAATAGCAACAATGGGGAGTGGAAGAGAAGGAATACATTTCATAGCGTTTCTCCTTCTCTTCTCCCCTTCGGAATTGAGATTCTCAGAGGCTGCAACGGAGGACCCAATTCCCGCAGATTGGCCTCACCAGTTCCACGCGTTGATGTTCATGAACCGAACCGGATCTCTTCAGAAATTGGATTTGTGGTACGACTGGTCCAACGGTCGCAACTTCAACATCATTCAGAATCAGCTGGACAACGTTGTAACCTACGACCTGGAGTGGAACAACGGCACGTCCTTCATGTACACTCTCGATCCCTCCAACCCCACGTGTCAAGCCCTGCACGTAGAAGTGGGTATTCTCCGCCCCAATTGGCTCCAGGGCGCAACCTATCTGGGTCAGCAGCGAGTTAATAATTTCCTCTGCAATGTGTGGGAGAAGGTTGATTTCATTTGGTACTACGAGGATGTCCTCACTCGCAGGCCTGTTAAGTGGATCTTCTACTCAGGTACACTTACACACTCCTCCCTTGCTTGCTAAAACCTGACGAATGATTCATTCTATGTTATTGATTATATAATTAACATTGATAGTAAATATATCAGTACTTATTGGATAAATGAAATTTGAAGCACTAAAAATTTACGAGTCATTTCCATAGTAAGAGATTATTGGGTAGTCCAAGACTTAATACTTTGTGGACTCCAATCAAAGTTTTTGCAAAGGTCTCCAAATTTTTAATTTTGAAAATGATTGCTTCTGAGAGCAAACAATTGACACACCTTATGCACCTGATCTTAGTGGGAAGAAATAAATTCGCAGTCACCATGTGAATTCAAAGGTGAACTTAGTGGGATGAAAATAAAGTCTCACTCACAAACACGTTATCCTTTAGTTAAACATTGGATGTAGTTTTTTATTGATGTGCCATAACTTGATTAGATGAACATGATTTACTATAGGAAATCGAGAGAGGTGATTTATAATCTCAATTAACACATAAAGATAATCAACTGTTATTATTTTTTGTCATATTAAAAAGCTTGAACATATTTGCTAAATAGATATAGATGGAAAACATGAATGTAAATGTAATGGATTATGAGTGCTTAATTTTTTTCAATAATGACTAATGCGATCAACTCAACAATAGCCACTGTCATTAGATTATTATATTATCTTAAAATTGAAGTTTGATTTTATCTGAACATCAAGAGTTGTTACCCCAAAAATTATATGGTAGTCATATCATTAGTAATTTGCAGTTATTGGTATTGTTTTGTTAGCTATGTTTGTATGTATTTCTTATTTGAAATATTTGCTTGGGCGTTTATTGAGGTTAGCACCCTTTGATTTAGTGAATACTAATCTAATTTGGTGAATGCAGGATACACTGCTCACGTGATGACATTTGATGTCGGTGCAGTACTTGAGGATTCAAATTGGCAGGCTCCTGTGTACTGTTTTACTGAGAATGAAGAGGAAAATGATAACCCCATTTTAAGATCTGCTGTTCGTGGTGGTTCTCTTGGGAGTTTGATGAGAGGGGTACCCCATCGGGAAACTATGTAATTCTAGTTTTGATCAACTAGAGATGCGCATGCATCACTCTGTTGTTTCTGAGCCATGACAGTCTTTGTAACTTATACTAGACCAAACACCCACAAATTTTATTGAATTTCGTCTGTTTTGTCGAACATATAGAATGTTTTGTTACTTTTAGTAGTCCCACTCTAGTAAAAGAGGCTTAATTAGTTGAGCTCATAAGTGAAACCATTTCAAGTGTATTAGGAAAGTGTAACCTAATATTGTACAGAATCCTTATAAGCGAAATCAATGCAATTCTTGTGCTTCTTGTTTTAATAGACATGAGATTCTACATGAAGAGACGTGAATAAGCTAGTGTAGCTTTCATGAAATATTTCCCTTCTCTACTTTCTTTCTAGATATATATTTTTTTAGCGTATGGTGAAAACTTCTTCTTTCTAGATATATATTTTTTTAGCGTATGGTGAAAACTTCTGTGTGATCTCATTCTATCGAGTTTGATGAAAAGAAGAAGATTTTATCTAATCAAAGACAACAAAAGGCACTCAAGAGCTTGAAATGGATTCAACGCCAAGTTAAAAGACAATGAGTTGATGAGGTAAGAAGCACCATTAAACTTTCAACTATGATCTTATTTGTTTGTTCATGATAGAATTCTATGACTCATGGTGTGTAGTACACTAAACCAACTTGTCAATGATTTAAATGCCATTATTATTAGAAAAGAATGTGTTATGATTTAAGCCTTATGGATTGCATCCTAAATTCTAAGATTGTAATAATGCAAACGTGTGACATATACAATATAAAATAACAAAGAAAGTAAGTTAAATGAACAACTATTATTAATGAAAAGATTAATTATAGAAAATACATAAATCAACTACTGAAGAACTATGTTTGGCTGATAAAACCCTCTGATAGCTAACAAATCAAAGGAACTCTTACTTCAACGTTAAGAAACAAACCCTTTGCAAAAGATCAAGATAACCTATGCATAGAAAAAGAAGAGGATCATAACATCCTCTCTGTTCATTCTCACTGCTTGAAGTTAATAATTTATTTTGTTTGCATCAAAGAAATCTCCTCGTGAACATCCGTAAGAAATTTAGTTATTTGTCACTGTGTCGGATTTTGGTGTACTTATAGATATATTGTTCACTAAAAATAAAAATGAGTGCGGTTTGCCTTATAAGCGCATTTAGGAATTTTTCACCCTCTTTTTAAAATATGTTCCCAAACTTTTTAAAATAGAAATGGTTAAATATGTTTTTAGTCCCTCAACTATCAAGCGGATTTGTTTTTAGTCCCTCTTTCAAAGTAAAGTACATTTTAGTCCTCATCCTTAAGGAAACCTTAATTTTTGGTCCTCCAAAACTAACACCGTTAAAAACCAGTTGATGTGGCTAACATCTATCCACGTGTGTTCACAACTTTGCTTCCTATCTCTTGCCACATGTGATTAATTGTTTGATGACATGTGTTAATTGAATTTTTGACGCGAATGAAATTAGGGTTTTTTGGGTTAGAAAATTAGGGATTTTTATGCGCGAATGAATTGTGGTTCTTACACTTAAAATTAGTAATAACTGTCTTGAAAATAGTTAGTGTTCGTGTTCCTTCTTTGAATTTGCTTTCCCTATTGTTGTGGTTCCAGTCTGTGTGCATTGTGTGTCAAAGAAAGGCGATTCGAAGAAGAAGGTAATAATCTAGTTTTGATTTACTGTTGCTTGTTTGTTGTGCATTCTCTGTGCAAATTTTTCATTTTACCATGTAGAAAGAAATGGTTTTTGACGTTTCTCTGTATCACATGGGGAAGTTCATGAAGAATAAGGAAGTAGAATATGTGGGAGGAGAAATACATGTTATAAAAGGAATTGATCCCGACATGTGGTCATACTTTGAAGTAGTGGGATTTGTTAGAGAATTCAAGTATGATGGAGAATTCAAGCTATGGTGGAAGGGGTTGAAACAAAAGGCCATGAACAACCTCAAAATATACACAAATGACAGTGAAGCAATGTTGTTGGCTAACTATGCAAAGGCACATAACGATGAGGTTGAAATCTATGTCCAACATGTCCAACCCAGTCAGCCAGTTGAAGTTAACTTCCTTACTTTTGGTGAAGAGGCAAATGAAGTACACATACAGGAGATGGAGGAAGAGGTTATTGTGGATGAACAACATGCTTATGTTGTTGAAGAAGGTGAAGAAGATGTTTATGTTGGTGGGGTGGAGGGGAATGTAGAAGTGGAAGACTCCCTAATGGATGACGAAGAGGAAGAGGGAAATGTACAGGGAGAAAATGTAGAGATGGGTGAGGAAGAGCAAGAGCAAGAGGAAGAGGGCAATGTCGTTGAGGGCGAAGTGATGGAAAATGTTGATGATAGTGAAGAGGAACAAATGGCAAATGATGATGATGAGTTTGGGATGAAGAATGAGAGGGTGGAGGAAGAGAGAAGAAATATTAATCATGTTTTGGATAGGTGGAAGAGAACGAAAAAGAAAAAGAAAATTGTTAGGAGCAGAATCCAAGATAGTGAGGGGTCATTTATGATTAACGAAGAAGTTGGAGAACATGAGATAAATGAAGATAACAATACAAATGAGTTGTCTTCAAATGTAGATAGTGATAAGGATGTGACTGAGCATAAGAGGCAATTTCCAAAGTATAGAGCAGAAGATATGACCAAGGGGTTCAAATTTAAATTGGGAATGGAGTTTAAGTCTTTGAAAGATTTTAAGAGTGCGCTACAGGAGCATAGCATTTTGAATGGTAAAGAGTGAAGTTTGTGAAGAATGATTTGAAGAGAGTGAGGACAGTTTGTAAGAAGGGATGTGGTTTTCTATTTATGGCTAGCAAGGTAGGAGGTAGCCAAACCTTTAGAGTGAAAACTCTAGTTGGGCACAAGTGTGGAAGGGTTTTTAGTAACAAAAGTGCAAGTGTACAATGGATTTCACAAGTATTGGTTGACAAATTTGTGAATGTAGGAGGCATGACAGTGATCCAAACACTACAAGAAAAGCGCGAATTACCGAGGGTATTTTTCCGAAGGCCTGTCTATCGTCGGTAAAAGTGCTTTACCGAGGGGCAAAAAGTGAATCACCGACAGCCTAGACGAAATCACATTTCCGATGGTCAAAAAGACCTTAGCGAGGGTTTTGAAACCTTCGGTAAGAGCGTCGAGCAATTAAAATCAATGATTGGGGTTCATCCCCAATTTTGTCAAACAAAGCCCTCCTTCCCCTCTGCCAGTAAGAGCTGCGATTTCGGCCCTCCCTTCCAATCGACCTTCCCATTCACTCCGTCTACATTCCCTTTCGCTTGCTTTCATTCATTCTCTCCCTATCCCTCTCCCTGTCTGTTCTGTCCGGTGGCATTGTGTGCGTAC